CCCGGCTCTGCCCCTGCTCTGCCCCTGTCCTGCCCCTGTCCCTGCCCTGTCCCTCTCCCTGTCCCTCTCCCTCTCCCTCTCCCTGTCCTGTCCCTCTCCCTGTCCCTCTCCCTGTCCCTCTCCCTGTCCCTGCCCTGTCCCTGTCCCTGCCCTGTTCCTGTCCCTCTCCCTGTCCCTGTCCCTGCCCTGTCCCTGCCCCTGTCCCTGTCCCTGCCCCTGTCCCTGCCCCTGTCCTGTCCCTGTCCCAGTCCCGCCGCGGGGACACGGTCCGTCCTGCTCCGGTGACAGCGGGTCGGGCCACGGGAGCCTGAGAGAGGTCACAAGAAGCCCGAGGTGGGTGCAGCTGATTTTTCACCCGCAGAAAAGGCTGCGTGGGCAGAGCCCCGTGCTGAGATCTGTCAGCAGCTCTCATCTGCTGCCTTTGCCTTGGGTTTCTTTCCAGCAGGGCAGCTGTTTGTCCAGGGCCCCGGGGCTGGTTTCCTCTGTGTCTCTGCACATCACAGCGTCACCCACTGAGACTAGTTTGATTTTAAATTCTTCTTGGCAGGTTCACCCCTGTGCCCTGGCAGTGGCTTGCCCAGGTGCCAGCCCTGCTGCTGCCTCCTCCAGAGCCTTTCTCAGGTGTGAACCATTTGGTGGTTTAGACTGATTTGTAACCACGTATTTTGCTAAGAGACTTTGGCTCTGTCCCTGGAGAGGGGAAATGCTCTTGTTTGCTTCCTGTTCCCAGGAGAAGAGCAGAGTTCATCTCCTTGCTAAGACTGCCCTCTCCTGAGGCAGCTGCTTGGAGGCAGCACTTAAAAACATTGACTTGGCTTCAGATCATCTCCTGATGATCAGGTCTCTAATTTCTCTCAATTGCTATTGTCTGATAATGGTTTGTTTTGTTCCATAATAATTTCATTTCGTCTGCAGCAATATTGATGGAAGCATGAAAGCCACATAAGGAAAAAAACATCCTGTTTGGGTTAAAACCAAGATACAGCTCATTTCAGATCACCTTCCCTAGGGCCATGAGGAAGAAAATAGGAATTTTTCTCACTCTGCTTCTCCAGGTGTAGGCATGAAGCACATTTTGTGTGTGCAACCCACACTGAAATGGGGCAGCACCTTGGTTTGTCCCTGGCCATGAGCTTGTCACCTCTCCAGGGCAGCACAGGGGTCCCTGCTGGGAGCAGAGTGAGCTGTAGTTTTCTTACACCTTAAAGCCTCCCAAGCAGGGTGCATGATCCTCCTGTGCCCCATCTCCAGCAGAGGAGATCTCTGCTCAGTCCTGCAGTGCTAATGAAGAAGGACACTTCTGAAACAATGTGTGACAGCAAAGGGGGGAGATTCTGCCACCTCTAGAAGGAAAAACAATCCAGGCCTAGTTTTTTTCCCCTGATTTAAGCTCAACCTCTGAGCCTGGAATGGAATAACATTCTCATGTGTGTCAGAACTCTCAGATACTTTCAAGCTGCTTCTCTGTTGTGCACAGGAGGTTGCTGCACTGTATGAATTGCAAGTCATGCTCCTTTTTGATTTCCTGTGCAGCTGATGGTGCTGGTGGGGAGATGCCCTGTGCTCTTCCCTTCTGTCCAGGCGCCCATGGGCTGTGACACGGTGGGCACCTCATCCATGATGTCCCTGTTCCTGCTGCACAGCCCCGGGCTGAGGGTGGGCAGGGCAGGAGGGGCTGCTGAGCCTTTGGAGAAGCTGCTCGGCTTTCAGGTGCTGCCCTGGAAGTGAAAAACTTACAGAAAAGGGAAAGGGGGAGGGTGGAGAGGGATGAAATTATTTTAATGTATCTAAGTTGGATGTCTTTGGCTGTGGCTGTTCCCACCCAGGTCTGTGAGGGGCCCTGCAGGGGCCCTGAGGGGTGGGGGGTACAGAGCAGCTCAGCCTCAGCTCCCTCCCTTTGCTCTTGAGTCACTTTTTGACTGGTGTTTCTGATTTGTCTTTTCCTCTGTAAATATCTGCATGTTGATATCCCTGTTACCTAAACAGAAATTCACCTATAAATACGAAGCCCTTTGCAGAGGTTGCCCGGGCCTGAAGGTACATGTGGTTTTAAACAGTTTCCTGGAGGGGTGATGCTGGTTGGGCTCTCAGCTTTCAGAAACCAGGCACAGTGTTTGTAAAGACAAATATCTCTTACATATCCAGCAGATTTGTTTTGACACCTAATTAAGTTAATTTAGGTTTAGTGTAGTTCAGCAGCAACTCAAAATCATGGTCTTCCACCTGACCTGATGTATTGATTCTCCTGCTGGTTCACCCATAAATCTCTTTGTTTCTGTGCAGCTGTAACTGCATGTGAAGGGAAGCTGGTGTGTGCCCAGGCCACCTGAATGCACCGTGACTCCAGGGACACCTCTGGAGGTGGGAACAGCTGCCTGTGAGGCTGCTGCCCTACGGAACAGCCCGTGAGATGCCCTGTGGTGCCAAACCAGCCTCAGCTGCCCCTCCTGCCAGCCTGGCAGAGGTGCAGCCTCTCCAGCAGAACCCCCTGCCCTGCTGGAGGACACGGGGCAGGGCTTCAGCACTTCTGACCCTCTCAGGATGTTTTCTGCTGTTTTTCAAAACAACGTCCTTCAAGGCTCCTTGGGATCTTTAGTCCTGGAAAGCAACTGTGAGTCCACGGGTGTGTTTTCTTCCCTGAGTTCTCTTAAAATTCCATGCCCAGCAGAACCTGCCCAGACCCCAGCTCCTCTGAGGAGGCAGCTCCTGCCCCTGGCTGGGGGTTGGCTGTTCT